ATGAGTATTACTGCCAGCACTTGATGGAAATATATTCTTCCCCTATAGCCCGTACATTATTTCTGCTTAGTTATAGTGGCTCACATTTCCCGTAACTATCAGGGAGAACTTAATTCAACTCACACCACCCCACTTTACAATTGTGCAGCTCTCTTAATCAACCTTTGTATCAGCCACAAATGCGCAGTATGACCTAATTTGAAAATGTCTCAAAGTGCTGACTCAAACTGTTAGTGAATAAAGGCTAGTCATTACCATGATGACACTAATGTGATGCAAAATAAAATTGAGTTGCATCAGCCGAACGTTAGTTTGCAAAAATATTAGTGATTGAATCCATTTTCTGTTCATATTTTATTTATACTTATGTATACATAGATATATCTATACATATGCATATATTTATTTTTTGTTTGTTGGGAACAGCCTTGCAATAACATTTCTAAGCGCAGAGGGAGGAAGCCACATGGGATCACTGGAAACAAACGCTAGATTAAAGACGGGACATATAGATCACTGATTTTCAACTGGTGTGCCGCGTGGCACACTGCTGTGTCAGGAGAGAATCTTAGGTGTGTCGCAAAAGTTTTTAAAGAGCATCAATTAAATTATTTTAGAAAGAAGTTCAAAGAACAGTAAATATAATCTTTTTTTTTACTTTTTTTTGATCAACATAATTTAAGTGTGTCATGGAAGTTTAACTATAGGTTCAAGTGTGCCCTGAGAGAAAAAAGGTTGAAAAACTCTGAGAGAGATATTATGATTGCCCATCTATACAACGGAAATATACTGGTGTTAAAATCTTATTGGGATATTTATCTACATATGAGTGATAAAATATGAATATTATCATCTTGTTCTGGACTTTGACACCAGATTCCAAGATTTTTAACAGTCCTAATACTTCTTTGTATTTACTTGAAAATTGAGCATACTTTGTATTACTCAAAAATTCTCTGACTTTATGTTTAGGAATTACAAAGAACTGAGATTATTTTTCTTGTACGGGCCCTCTTTCCATCTTCCTTACATGATAAAAAAATTTTTTTGGGGGGGGATAGAAATACTCCTTAAAAAATTGGTCATTCATTACTATGAACAAAAGAAAGTGAGATATAAGACTCTACCCCCTCCCCGAAAAGACTAGAAATTATTTAGCCTCAGTTCAGATGACTTTGGAGAAACACTAACATGCCTTTTTAATACCTATATATCCTGGAGTTGGTATTGGTTTCAAACTCTGAGAGGATAATTAGTCATTGAAAATTAATCCGCCCAAACCTTTCTTAAAATAGAGAAATTGTCTCAACGGTCAATCAAAAATTCCACTCTGCGTTCTCTTTGGAGTCTCCTGATTTCTGACAATTCTGAACATGAACGTAACACCTTCGTGATGAAATATCTCTGATTTTATTTGTCTAATGGTTCCTGGCAGACTAAGTATGCAGATACAAGGAAGAACTGTAATTCTTTAAAATTTTTAAAACAAGAAGTTTTGACTCTTGAGAAATGATTTAACCTGCTTCAGATTGAGAGAGTACATGTCTTCATACTACCTTGCTATGTGCTATCAGTAGAGAACACAGCTGCCTTAAAATGCTGGTAAGCGTAGTTCATTCACTTTTTAGCCAAACAAGTAAAAGCTTATAGCAAAATGTGTAGAAATTTGCTAGTAGGTGATGACTTTAGGATTTTAGTCCATTTTATGTCACGTAATATGTGGCTTGGACTATTTTATGACCTATGTTTTATTTTCACATTAAAACGACCCAGATATTTTTTTAAAAGTTTGAATAATTTGAAAGCAGACTTGTCAAAACCAGTATTCGGAAGCGCGGTGCTCAGGCACGCATTCATCGGCACACTTTCAATTTACCTAAAAAAAAAAAAAAAAAAAAAATGAGGGTCGCCCTTTGTAGCTAAAATACAATTGTTCTTGTTTTTAAATTACAACGGAAAAGGGTATGGGGGTGTGATTGCTGCAAATGGATTGCCAGCCTCTTAACAGTTCATCATTCTTAAAGGATGGAAGTACAGCAGCACCCTTCTGAGCAAAATCTTTTCTGTAGATTTTACTTTGTCTATGGCAGGACAAATTGCGTGCTAAGTTGGAATAATTCTGCGATGTAAGACACCTCCTCATCTGTCCTTGGCGTACCTAGGAGCTGACATTCCTCCTTGGAAGATGAGGAGAGAATGCCCCCTGCCCTTTTAATTGATGATTTACTGTGCTTCCCCCTGGGGCCACAACCGATGATCTGTAAGCTTGTTGAATTTTGAGGCAAATACTAAATATAATCAATATATAAAAATAAAAAAAAATGGAGAAAAAAATGCAATGAAAATTTATGACCTTAACATTCCTTCAGGGTCAAGCAATTTATCAAATTCTCTCACTTTCTGGTTTCAATTACACAGCCGTTGTGGAAGGAACTTATTTTAGCAGGTTCATTTGCCTCAGTGGGGAATACAGGACTTTGGCCTAATGCTTCACCTTTAGTGCAGGCCATTTGAGCCTTAGAACAAATACCAATCATCACTCTTTGGGAAAAAAGAATCTGCATCGGCGTGGCCTATTGGAATGGGGTTTCTGTCAAGGTAAACGGTTGTCGGCAATGACTGTGGTAGAGTGGCGATAAATCCCATTTTATTGCTGAAAAATTCCAGCTTCTCTCCATGCCTGACAGCTCCCCACATTCTCATACCCATTTGGGCAATTTCTGCACTATGTCCATCTGGTTCTCATTACCTCTCAACCTGCCTGTGTCTGATCTAGAAAAAGAGCAGGTCAGAAACTGGGCGGGGGAGTGGGCAGGGGGGAGCTAGTGTTTGTGGGGAGAAACCAAGGTGATGAACAAAACAGAAAGCAGGGGGTGGCCCATGGGGGTCGGAGTAGAGGTGAGGCAACAATGGGGAGATCAGGAATTCCAGCTAAGACGCTGAGTGGTCCCTAGAAGGGGCCATGTAGAGATATTTAAGAATGACAATGACAGAGCCCAAGCCAGAAAGCCAGGGGAACCTGTGTCTTGAGACTCCGGCTTTTAAAAGACACCTGTTTTAAGATGGAGGCAAGAGAGAGAGAGAGCGTGAGAGAGATTGTGTTAGGTATGGGTGGGTGGGGACAGGTTAAGCAGCAGCAGTGCCAGTCAGATTATCACAGAGTACAGAGAGAGGTTCCATCATCCTAGAAGAGATTAGAGCCTGTGTACACAGTTGGCAGTCTTCTAAATATGAAGAGCGAACTCTGCTGGAGATTCAATTTCGGGTCAAAAACATACTTTTCTCGAAGAAGAAAACTCTGG